ATTTGACTGGAAAATCTGAAACATAAATCAATTTTATATTATGCATTTATAATCTTTATTGTTTCTTTATAATCTGATCTAATTTTTATTTTTATATCATATATGATAGTATTACAAACTTCCAAATATTATTTTTTTTATATTGTTGCTAATATCCATTGATAAAAGGATATTATATTATATTATATTTGTATTATTTAACCTTGATAATTTTTACAATTTATCGAAAAACAAGCATTAAAATGGCCAAAAAAATTAGTATTAAATATAAGTTAATTATTATATATGAAATAAAAGGAAATATTCTCTATTTATTGTTAGAAAACTTCAATTTCTTGAGAAAAATATTATGAGATTGAAATATTGAAATATTGGTTCATTAAGTATCTATATTAGTGCATTCATTCATTTATTTATTTTTGATCATTTTGAATGAGAAATACATATTCTTGCTATAATATATTCATTTGCATTCCTGAATGCAGATATGTTCTTTCTCGATATGTACATCAATTTTGTAGATTTTTAATTAGAATAATCAGAATAATTAGATTAATAAGAATTTGACTACAAAAGAATAATGAAGATGATGATAATGATGATAGTTACCACATATGTCATTTTACAACTCTTGGTAAAAGTAAGAAATTGTAAAAATGATTTTACAATCTTGTGTACACAAAATTTACCACATAAGGGCTTTTGAGCGACCCGTGATAGTACTGTGTTGGCATATAGGTATGAAATATGTATGTGTCTCGTATATATACATAAACATTATGCAATTATGAAAATGAAAGAGAAAAAATATATGATTATTCTGAATTAAAAATCTACACGCTTAGGTAACCAGATGTACACCTAAGTGTAATGTTGTTGCAGGCCATGGATGTCCACACAATATTTAACGAGCGTGACTCTATTTTTATAACTATAAATCTAAAGATTTTATTACTTTAAAACTTTTAAAATGTAAGAACTCGATTTTAATTTAAAAAGAAAAAATACAAGGGCTCAAATTTAATTTAAAAAAGAAAATACGACTTCAATTTAAAAAGAAAAATGCAATGATTCGACCATACTTTAAAATGAAAAATTAACTCTATTTTGAAAATATTCTATGACTCGATTTTACTTTAAGAAAAAATTGAAAAAACTCTATTAATTAAATAAAACTATATACAATAGTAAATAATAAATAATAAAAAATTCTATTAACTAATTGCAAAAGCTTGATTCTAATCACAAGGACCCTGATTTTTCACGTACGCAAATACGAAATGCTGTAGCAAGGAGATAGAATGATCCATCATCTCCATTCAGTATCAAACTACTACTACACTACTACGAGTATAAATATCAACGTTGTAATAAGATAAAGGGGATTTTTATAAGTCCACAAGCTATTAACAAAGGGTTCGACATGCCGATCACCTCCGAAAAATGACTTGTAGTCGAAATTTGTCCTCTTGAGCCACAGTTTGTGGGAGCCTCTTCAGCATATAGCCTCTTCTTCGTGCTCTAACCATTACTTTGGAGTATTCCTTACGTGCGAACGCATGAAAAGTTAACGCATCAAAAAACGACCTACCGCTTAAAACAACACACCCACAAAAATTAACATGCTGCAGTGGATTATACTATAAGAATGAAATCGTAACAGATCTATTCTTGATCTGATCTCACTTTACGCAACAAGACTCAAACCACTTGTGTTGCATTGAACGAGACTAAGGGGAATTGGGAAGTAAAAAGAAATCGGGAAGTAAAAAACACATTTGCTATTTTTTATTATTTTTTTTTTATTTAACCTAACGAACAGTAAATGCTTGCAATGTAAAGTATCGATTTCTTCTAAATAATATAACTACTGAAGCATGGCAAAATTTGCGAATGCATCACCCCAAACGTCACTGACGAATCCAAACACGTATCCTTAACTGCGTTTCCTGTTCTACCTGGGCACGTCTCGATTTTCTACTGATCTTTATTTATTTATTTATTAAAAAAAAAAGAAAAAAAATGAAAGATTTATTAATATTTGACTTATACCGTTAAGCTATCCTAGCTTACGGACAATCAATGGACTCAAAGAATCCACTAACCGTATATATTTACACAGGCATATGTAATCGAATGTTCCAGCAGACATAATATTCATTTTAATCGATGAATCTATTAAGATTAACTACTTGCACTTAACAAATGAAAAAGTTTTGATAATCACAAGAATTTTAATATTCACAAGATTTGATAATAATTTAATAGATCACAAGAATTGTAATATTTCCATTTTACGTATGCAGGTATATTCTACTTTGAGTAAGTACTTACACAAAAAGAGGAGGAGAGGATGGATAGATAGGGGGAGGAAGAGGATGATGATAACGATGATGATTATAATAGTTACTACATCATGGTAAAAGTAGAGTTGTAAAAATCCTTATATTACTTTACTACATTAAACACCGCATAAGGACCTTTGAGCGATCCGCGATAGCTGTATTAACATCTAAGTATGAAATATATATATCATATATATAGATATGAAATCGGGTAAATAAATGCCCGATTTCATAATTAATATGTATTACAATATGTAATGCAAACATTAAGAAAGAAAAAGAATACTAACTAACAGCACTGTTAATTAAATAAACAAATCAGATAAAACAAGAATATCCTGACATAATAATAATAAAAAATTCACTAGAAAAAAATATATTAGGGATTACACATATAGGAAACCATTCGTAAGTAAAACCAAAGTCTTATTTATGGTCACTTTTGCTCGTTTCGGACATTAATTATTACGAGAAATGATAAATTCAGAGAAGTATTGTTACCAATTAGACAAATAAAAACAACAATTGAACAAAAACGTCCAGAAATAACGAATCGGAAGGGCGTCGTGTTTCGTCAGGGCAATGCGCGGCCTTATGTGTCTTTGATAACTCGATAAAAGTTGTTGGAGCTCGGTTAGGATGTTCTACACCATCCACCATGTTTACTAGACCTCACCTATTCTGATCATTACAAAATTCCCTTAATAGAAAAAACTTCAATTCTTTGATCGATATAAAAAATCATGTAAAAAAGTTTTTCGCTGATAAACCTGAGAGATTCTGGAAGGAAGAAATTTTCAAGTTGTTTGAAAGATGAAAAAAGGTTGTAGAACAGAATGGCAGCTATATAATTTTATAAATGTATACTAAAATTTAAATCTGCGTTTCAATTTTTCTTCAAAATCGGCACAAATTTTCCGGACAACCCAATACATATATATACATGTATAATTATGTGTATATGATATGAAAACCATATATAAGACAACATTCAATCGATCGTGACTAATTAATGAAAGATTATTAATTGGCAGTGTCGTTAATGGATGAAAAAAGTATCGATATCGTGAAAATAGAAACTGAAAATTCGAAATAAAAAGTATTTCTAAAAGACGCCAAGACGCAGATTTTATTTTCGTGGATATCTTTTCAACAAGACGATGGCACGACTTGCAAACGTTGACTTGTGAAAATTACATTTCCGACAATTGATTAATATGTAAAACAGAGGTGTACGTTAGAAAAAATATACTAATTATCTGTAATTAACGAGACAACGAAGCTCCGTTGTCATCGGTATCACAAAATAATTAAAAATGATAAGAATAATCAACAGTAAAGAAACTAAGTGGATTCTCAAGCATGTGCAATATGTCACCTATGCAATACCCACCCCACAAAGCTTGTAATTTTTCGATCTATTACAAAAGAATATCGAAATACTAGAAATATAATATACTTAAAAACTATGTAAACGGATATTTTGTTAGTCCAAACTATGAAAATTTATAATTAATATAGAAATAAAGCAGAAAACATGAAAAAGAATTATAAGGAAAATGTCCATCTTCTTGCATAGAATTATTATCCATACGAATATCTTTTATTCTCGACGTTGTCACTACTTGTTAAAAATGTCGATTAAAAATCATTTATTCAGAAATCGATTGGTATATTGGAAGATTCTTTAAGTTAAAATACATGTTAATTTTCGTTTTCTTACATACACTTTAATTTGTCGTCACACACCCATAGCTTTTTTTTAGTCAAAACTATATATTTTAAACGTATGTGTGTGTGACATGTGTTACATGATAGACACACATATAGGAAAAATTCTAGAAAGTGGCCACTATAAACTTTGATTCTGAAATAAAGTATTAAAAGTAAATTCTTGTACGATAAGATACAGTAAATTTATTACGTAATACACCATATAATTTTGTAAATAGTGTTTTTTTATATTTTATATTATGCATATTGAATATAAATTAATATTATTTACAAATTAATATAATTATATCGATCCGGCTATGTAGTAACCATCAAATGGTCACTTTGTATAGCGGAAATTAATACAATAAAAATACAAATTTATAAAGGAAAGTATAGCTTATATTTTGAATTATTAACGAAATAAATCTTCATAAGCAAAAAAAAACATGAAACATCTAAAAGAATCTTGGTTAATCTGATTAAAAAAGAATGAAAAAAAACAAAATAATAACTAATATAGAAAAAGCATCTATAATATAAAAATAAAAAATTATCTACGACAATCATTGCATTCAAAATCATTCTCTTCTTTGTCGTTGCAAACGCACCCCTCGTGGGCCAATCGAAAACATCCGAAGCATCTGATGTATTCATTTCTTGTTTTTTCGAAAAAATATACCGAAATTTATTCGAAATAATAAATATATTATTTATTAATGTTGTTTTTAAACTCATTACTTTATACGATCGTATAAAATTAATCATAATTAATGCAATTTATCGATTTATAACAACATTAAATATAAAATATTCTATAATGACAGAGAGAAAAAGAGAATGAAAAAGAGTGAGAGAGAGAGAGAGAGAGAGAGAGAAAGATAGAAAAAGAATGAATTTTAAATCGGTATTACTTCATTTATAGGTAGAGTGCGCAGTGTATTTGCGCACATGCTTCCACGTAGTGACAGGCGGGGAAATAACATAACCTTCGGTACGTCTGTAAATATTTAGTTATTATAAATTTTAATCAGTTTATGGATTAAATCATTAAGATAATCAAATAATAAATAATACAACATGGTGTCTGTTCTAAATACTGTTGATACAAATCACGAAGATATGATCCATGATGCTGAAATGGATTATTATGGTTTGAGGTTAGCAACATGTTCAAGTGACAATTCTGTAAAGATTTTTGACTTAAAAAATGGATCGCAGAGTTTAGTTGCAGATCTTAAAGGACACGTAGGTCCAGTGTGGCAAGTTGCTTGGGCACATCCCAAATTTGGAAACATTCTAGCTTCATGTAGTTATGATCGGTTGGTTCCTTTTTATTGATAACTATTGTCATATGTCAGCAATTTGAATGCAAGGATATCGTTTATTTAATTTAATATTTTATATTTTATAGAAAAGTTATTATCTGGAAAGAACTTGGTGAATGGATAAAAATCTATGAACATACAGGACATGATTCTTCAGTCAATTCAGTTGCTTGGGCACCACACGAATTTGGTTTGATTTTAGCCTGTGGTAGTTCAGATGGTTCCATTTCTATACTTACTAATAATGCCGATACCTGGGATACACAAAAAATAACAAATGCACATACTATTGGATGTAATGCAGTAAGTTGGTGCCCTGCAATAGATACTAGTTTTGATTCAAATAATATTCAACAAAAAACTGGTCCAGTAAAAAGATTAGCTACTGGAGGTTGCGATAATTTAGTAAAGATATGGAAAGAAGAAGGTGATAGATGGATAGAAGAAAATAAACTAGAAGCTCACAGTGACTGGGTAACTCAATTGTTTAAATTTATATTCTTGAATTTAATTCATAATATATAAGAATATTTTTAAAAAATTATATTTTAATTCGACTTTTTCTAATAGGTACGTGATGTTGAATGGGCCCCAGCAGTTGGACCTTCTAGAGCTACCTTAGCTTCATGTTCTCAAGATCGTCGTGTAGTTATATGGACATCAAACGATTACTTGAATTGGACATCAAATGTTCTTAATATTTTTGATGATGTAATTTGGAATGTTAGTTGGTCTCTGACAGGTGGTATTTTAGCAGTTAGTGGTGGAGATAATAAAGTTTCTCTTTGGCGTGAAAATTCAGAAGGTCAATGGGCATGTATCTCTGAATTAAACAAAGGTCAAGGCAATCTCAATAATACAGATCAACGTACTTTGTAATTTAATTAGTAAAATATATATTTTATATAAGTATATATGTTAACGTAAATATGTTACTGCAAAGTTGCTTACAGATATATCCTAACCAAAATTTTAGAATATAAATTAAACTCTTAAGTTTATAAAATCGTTTATTCTTGTTTTTACTTAATCGGAAAGATTTTACTCAATTCTAGATTTGCAACTTAAAAAAGTATAAAATTCTCTCTCTCTCTCTCTATATATATATATATATATATATATATATATATATTGTTCAAATATAACAATAAATTTTTAGTAGGATTGTCCAAGTTATTATTACAAAAAAGAAAGAATATTAATTGACAATATTTATTCTGCAATATTTAATATTTTAAATATTTTAATATTGCTTTAATTATCTATATATAACAAAAATATCAAATTTATTTCCAAATTCATTATTTTTGAAATTTTACAATAATAAATTATTATCTTTATATTTAATGTCACATACAAACATCTGATCATTTGTTTCCAACAAGAAAATAGTAAGTTTATAATTACAATTTACTCCATAATTAATCTTGAGTGTATAAGGACGCAGCAAAAACTATGTCACGTTTTATTGCTGTGGATGCTTCTTCCATTTTTTCTTTTAAAACTGGATCACCAATTGTCACAGCTGCATTTCTCACATCTTGCAAGGTCTCATTAAGTTGTTGAATGCATCTAACTATAATACCTTCTTGCACATCAATTTTCTGCATTATTTCAGCAAATGATTTTGATTGTGCCCATTCATAAACAACTTCAACCAAACCAAAATTCAATGGTTGTAGTGTATTCAAATTATAAATTTGTTCTAAGTTTTGTAACTCGGCATGTACATTTTGCATAATTTGATGTTCCTAAAAAAAATAGTTAATCAATAATAATCAATTATTACATATCTCTTTCTTATTATTTTTAATTATAAAATATTCAGTCAATTCAATAATACGTTATAAAGAAAAAACAAGAAATTCTATTAAATTTTACCTTTCTCAAGTGATGAAAATCAACTGGAAATGTCGATTCAGAATTTGATTTTTGATGAAATATCAAAGCAGATAATAGTGCAGCAATTTCAGCTGGTTGCAAAACAGTTAAAACATTTTTTAGAATTAGCTCTGTTATGAGTAACTCGTTAATTCCTATTTGCAATGCAACTCTGCCTTTTAAAGCAACTGCAAAATGATATGTAAAGAATAGAAAAACAATTTTCACAATTTTAAACAATGTATTATGAAAACATATAAAGTTTACTAACTTCTTTCATCACTATCTATATATCCTAGATGTTTAAGAAGTGAAACCATATTTATATAATCTGGATATAAAGATAATCCTTCATCACTAAGACTAAGTTGAAGTTTTTTCCGTTCTGTTTCCAATTCATTTCGATAAAATACAGTTTCAAATTGTTCTTCAAAGTTAAGAATATCAATACATTTCATGCTGCTAAGAGCTTGTTTCTGTTTGCATAAATGTTTCATTCTGGGATTTAGGTTTTCAGTTACTTTCATTGTAACGTAAGGTAATAATATACTATCATCATTAGCAGCATTTAAAGATATTGCCATTAATTCTTGAATGGCTGTTTGACAAGTTGGACCAGGTAGATCATGCCTGTAGACAGTTTAAGATACAATATACATATAATAAACTTTAAATTTATTTATTATTATATTATTATTTTGTTTACCTAAATCTTGATATTTGTCTTTTTTCCCAATCTTTCAATACCATACCACAATCAACTTTAATTTGACAATTTGTTATTTCTAGTATATTCCATGCAGAAATCGTTATAACTTCATGTGATGGAACCCCACTTGGTACAAATATATCTTTTTTGGTTAGACTGATAATGCTATACCAATTTTCAGATTTTTCTTTTACGTTATTAGAATTTTCTAATAATCTATCATTATTAACATTTTGTGCATTTGTATCTTTTAATATCAATACTTTATATTGATTTCCATTTTGTTTACGTGAAAGTACATCCAATAGTAGAGCTAAGTTTCTATAATGATTTTCATATGATATGATTAAAATTCTACCCTTAGTTAAACTATTTATTGCTTTTTTAGATTCAAGCATATAAGGTTTCAAATAACGAAGTTCTTGTAAATAATTAATTGCAATTTCATAAAAACCAGATAATTTCTTTTGTATATTCGTCAATGGTGGTAATGCTGCTAATTTTTCTTCAACTTTACGTAAATCAATTTGGTATTTATCTTCTTTTAATATTAGATATGACTCTTTAAACGATCTGCGCATCATGGATTCTACAGTAACTAGTTCATTTGTTCTTCTCAAATTTAAAACCATAGAATATGTTACTTTAAATTGTGATTCCAATGTTTTTGCTTCACCTTGCATCATCGGCATTAATTCATTAAAGTGTGGAACTTCTGTATTACATATTACTATAACTGTACCAGTTATATCATGACCTCTTCGACCAGCACGTCCAGCCATTTGGATGTATTCGGTAGGATACAAGGTACGAAATCCATTACCATCATATTTAGTTATTGAATCAAATACCACTGTTCGTGCTGGCATATTGACTCCCATAGCAAATGTTTCAGTTGCAAATAATAACTACAATATAACATACAATCAAAACAGAATCTTATTTTTTTTTCATTACAATATATAACAACTGTCCTAATAATAATAAATAAGAATAAGTTACCTTAACAACACCGTTTTGGAAAAGCATCTCTACAGTTTCCTTTAAAATAGGCAATATCCCACTATGATGTACACCAATACCGTTTTCTAAAAGATTTTGCATCATACAAACTTGTGGTAATTGCTTGTCACTACCTTTCAAATATTTCATAATATGCTGGTAAAAGCGTTTTACTTCCATTTTTTCAGCTAATGTAGTTAATTGAATATTCATTAATCTGTTTGCGTTGATATCACAACGTTTCCTGGATAACGTAAATACAACAACAGGCAATTTATCCTAAAAATGCATGTTCTTTCAATAAAAGCTTTTAAATACAAGAAAACAAAATATGAATATTCTTAAGTTTTTTTATCATACATTATGTTTTAAATAATTCACAAAATTCTTCCATAACATCATTTGCTCTTTTGCAGAAAATCTCTTTTTCCTAATATCTTTTGTGTTAGTGTTATTGCTTTGTAGGCTTTTAACAGATTGAACATTTTTTGTTGCTTGATGCCATCTATAAGAAATATTCGGTATATTAAAATTAATTCTAATACTATCCTAAACTTATTGTTTGTAAAATTCTAATAACAAAACCAATACAAAAAATTCAGTTACCCATTCAATGAAAATTCTTCATTTGAATCAAGAACTAAAACTAATGTGCCACGTTCCTTGTCATTAGTAGGAGTATACAAATAATGTTGCAATGGTATAGGTCTCTTTAAAGTGCTAATTACGTACATTTTCCGTTTTTTGATACGACCAACCCAATTTGCAAATATTATTGGTTTTGGCACAGTTGCTGACAGCATAACTATATTGACAGTTTGTGGTAAAAGAATCACTATTTCTTCCCATACATGACCCCGCTATATATTTATGAAATACTATAGTTGTAACTTTAAATAATACTAATAAATAGTAGACAATAATAATAAATATAAAATAATTTAACATGCTATATTTTAGAAATAAAAAAATTTGCATTATATACATTATATATAGAAAATAGAAATATTTTCTAAACAAATAATATAAGATATATAAAATATAAATAATATAAGATTTTTTAATACAATTAAAAAATCGGTGTCTTTCAAATTCGTAATCTTTGAAATAGTGCAAAAATAATACTTACATCCTCATTATTAATATAATGTACTTCATCAAATATTACAAATTCTAAATCCCTAAGAACTTCTGATGCACCATATATCATTGATTGTAATATTTCAGTAGTCATAATAAGACAAGATGCACTCTCATTGATTTGAATATCCCCTGTTATTAAACCAACACTTTCAAATTTCTTTTTAAAATCACGATATTTTTGATTTGATAGTGCTTTGATAGGAGAAGTATAAATTACCCTTAAATAATAAAATTGCAATCACAGATAAATATGCTAACCATATAAAAGAAATTATTTTACTTCATAAGTAATTTTTACCTTGTCATATGTTTCTGAGTTAAAGCAATAGCATACTCAGCTACAGTAGTTTTTCCTGCAGAAGTATGCGCTGCAACAAAAACATTACAATTCTCTTCTAACTTAAGTATAGCCTGTTTTTGGAAAGTATCCAATTCATATTCAAATGTCATTGCTGGATCAGGAATTTTCTTCTCAAAATCTGTTATTGGCACAGAAACATCTATTTGTTCTGCCCATTCCATTTCAATAATTTTAGATGGTTCTTCAGAAATGTTTAAAACTGGTATTTCTGGTTCTATTGGTAACAATGGAATATCTTCTAATGCAGGTATTTGTGGAGACTCCTGTACATCATCATCTTTTAGTTCTTGCACAGATGACCAGAGATTAAGCTCACGCTCTTCTTGTTCTACAAGAGCCATTAAATTTATTTTACTTGTTATATCATCTTCAATTTGTACTTTTGCTTTTGATACTTTAGTTGGTTTATTTATTGATTCCTGCTTTGGCGTACAATTATCAGCTTCAAATTCTATCCCAGAACTAAATCCTTTTGCTAGTGTCCTTAAATTCCTCTCAAAATCAATATTTTCTGTCATCTCATCTGTTACAATAGGTTCATCAAATCCACCAGGCAAAAATGGTATGTTAGTAGTATTGCCTAGACCAAATATTAATTTTTTGTAAAATATTATTAATTAACATGCAATATGTAAGTATTGTATTTTCGTAGACATGTTTGTAAAATATTTTGAAAAGTATATAAAGTACCTCTAACATCATCTGTAACAGATCCAGGTATACGTTTCATAGACATTGAATTTCTTGCATTTTCTCCGACTCCTTTTAAAATAACTTCTTGCATTTGTCCAACACGACCTGTTACTGGATCACGATCAAATTTTAAAGTTGTGCTAAGTGGTGCTAAATCAAATTCTAATAAAGAACAAATATCAGGTTCTCTGGGCCAATAACATTGAGCATGATCAAGTTGATGTATGGGAAGCCGTTCAGGGCATTCAATATACTCCTTTAATTCAGTTTTTATATCAGGCCAGATAGGTGGAAGTTCAAATGGTAGCTACAAATATATAACACATATATATTTCAAAAATATATATATATTTATAAAATAATATAAATATCTAGCACAATTGAAAGAAAACAATACAACATTTTGATTAATATATATATATATATATATATATATATATATATATATATATAAAAGATAAATATTATATATTTTCAAAAAATTACCTCCATTTTATGATGTTTTATATTTATCACTTTAGTTGATGTTAGAAATATTTATTAGACACATGCCGTTATAGATAAGATTTGAATAGGTATTAAACATAAGCTAAAATAGAAAAAAAATAAAAATTAAATTAAAATATTAACAAAATAAAATTGATTAATCTATATAGTTTATTTATTGTAATCATCTGTGAGAAAATCAATTTAATTTTGAAATGTTTCAATCATGTTATGAAATTATGTATTAACCTATTATTTATTTTCGAAGATCTACAAATATTTACAAAACATTTTATTACTTAACCAGTCTACAAAAACAAAATTTTTCATAAATTTTATACGTTCTGTACGCATAGAAACAATGAAATACAAAAAAAAATTACTTTATAAACTGAATTATAAATAAAACAAAATTAGTAATACTCAATATAAATACATAAATATATAATAATTGTACATTGATCATTATTATATATCACTTCATTTTATTTTACATCCAAAGTCTGTTACGACTTGTTTTTTATTTCAATAATAAATATTCCTTATACTAACCAATCAACAGTTCGTTAAACTATGAATATCTAACTAAAGTTTGTAAAAAAAGATAAAACTTTAATTAAATATAATACTCAAGTAATAATATTTCCACATGAAAATATTTATTATATGTACAACAGAAAATTTATAACGTTTACTGTAATATAACCATTTTACATTTGGCAACACTGACAGAACTACTATTACCTGAGATTTAAGATACAAATGTACGAGATTATCGATTAATCGAATATCAACATTTTCTGTTTTGACTTCATTGATCATTCTACAATAAATATTCTTCAATTAATTTATTTATTTCATTTTGTTTTCCATAATCTTAAATACATAACGATATAATCAAATAAAGATGCAAATATTGGGACATCATAAAATATCACAGACATTTCATCATTATGCAAGGAAAGGGATAAGAGATTTCATTTCCACAACAAAATGCAATAATTCAAAATTTAAATAAAATCTTCAAAATCGTTCTATTTTTCAAAATTGAAAGAACCATTTTGTTTCTTATATTACCTATCGATATTACATTTATAAAACTCTAATGCACATATAATGCACATATATTTAGCAAAAATAATCCAACATGCCTATTATAATAGAACTTAAAATTTATTAAAAATTTAAGCATAAAATTTCTTAATATTATATAGATATTAATATCATTTATATATTATACAATCAGACCATAAACTAATATCATAATTCTTTTAATTATACAAATGCAGAAATAATTTTGTATTCTTGGCATATATTATCACAATTTTTGCTTTATAAAACACTTTTTTAGAACATATTCTTTTTAGATTAATATTTATATATATATATATATATATATATATATATATATATATATATATATATACATATACATACATACATACATACATACATATACATGTTTGTTTGTTATATACATTTATGGAATAGTTGATGGCCTGTAAATATTATATAATTTTTGTATAAATATATGAACAATTTATGAAGAAAAATATGCAAGATGATAAAATATAATTGAACTTTCTAATGTTGTGCAATATGGTAAATGAAAAATTATTAAAATAATAAAAAGTGATGATGATTGAAAATATACATTCTGATAGAATAATAAATCTAATAACATAATCTGATGCAAGCAGATACCAAAACTGCGCTGTTATAATGATAATTACTTATGTATTTTACATATTATTACACATATATATTGTATACATGAGGCAGTCTTAAAGAATAAAAGGAAGGTAATTCATAGATCCAAAATGTGTTAGATAAAAGTCTAAAATTTAACGATCAGCATTAGAAGAAAGATAACTTGTCAGTCAATATAGATGCATAGAATTATTATATGTAGACTGTCTCAGCAACAAACAAACCAGCAACGCAGGTATGTTTTTGAAATATTTATGTAGGTAGGCCATTGATTTCATTTATAACTACATGTCCATTTGTAACAATAATTGGTGGTGTTGAAGTCGTACTACGAGTAATATCGGAACAATCACTCTTACTGTCAGTACTACACTCTGAGCTACTATCTTTATCACTGTTCTCTTGTCTACATTTACACGATACGTGTTCTGGAGAATATTCTGAATTCCTGAGAGGACAACCGCATATACTACGATTTCCATTACTTGTACTATCACTATCGCTTTCACTGTCTACACTAGAGACAGAACTACCATGCCTTTGTGCTCTCAATGCTTCATTTTCTCTTTTTAGTTGTTCATTTTGCTTTAATAAGTCATCAATATGTTGCTGACAGATTTTTAATTTTTTTGCTACTTCAGATTCAGTAGTTATTCCATTCTTATTGTCTATCTCTTTATCTTCTGTCTGACTGATATTCTTCCCACGTAATCTTTTAGTGAGTAAGTCTACTTTGGCCTCTAATTGTAAATATTCTTGTATTAATTCAGATTTACTCAATGTGCTCAGTCTTTCTGCGTGAAGATCTTCATATGCACTAGAAAACTCTTTTGTCAAAAATTCTTCTTCATCCTCTGGGGAAGAGTAAAAGTAGTCTTCGTCTGAGTCAATGCTGAAACTGGAATCTCTAGTACGAGATGGTGCTGGGGGTTTCTGAAAAGTAGTAACTCCAAAATCTGAAGATGCAGCTATTGATAATTTTTGATCAAGATCAGGCAAGTCACTATGATCATCCATAAGAAACTGCGTTGTATTATAAGGTGCTCGGATTTGCCTACCCGTTTTTGCAAGTCTTCCAATGGATCTACAACGTGCTCGTTGTTGATAAGACAGCTGTTGTTTTGGATATGGTTTCAATTTCTTATGCTTAGGTTTCCCTCTACGAGTCTTTCTTTTTTTTGTAACTATGTCTGAGCCATCTTCTTGCGTTCCACCATCCTGGTCCCCACTACCACTGCCGCTTTCAAATTTACCACATCTTCGAATCAAAGATTTAGGCCACTAAAATTAAACAAATTAATCTATACATATTCTCTAAATACAATATAATTTGTAAAACTACTCAAATTTTTATCTATATATCTACAGAATATTACTTCAAAAAAATTTACTGTACATAACTTCAAATCAATATTACAGACCTAATTTTATAATTTTATCCTTATTTAATCATATGATATTAACAATATGACATATGACAAATTATGTAAAATTTTCATATAGAATATTTTTTCCTTTATGTTAATAATTAAATTTGGATATTTAACTAACTAATAAATAAATAAATAATAAATTAAAATTTACTTCATAATTTGAACTTTGAAATATCGATTTAAAAAATAAGTATCTCGCAAAATATCCATAAGATGAAAATAATAATCATTAAACGAGATTTAACAAAAAAAAGATAACAAAGATAAATATTTTGAAATAGAATGTATATCATTAATTTTTATTATAAAAGAAACAAAAATTAAATCTCAGTAATATAAAAATAAAAATTAAATTTGAGTAATGTCATATTATTCAATACTCACGTTTTTGCCGTTATGGCGAGCCTTTGTATCGGCATTTTCGCCGCTAGATCGCGACACTTGCCTCGAAGAGAGGAACGATGACGCCGCAGGCGTCGAGACCTCTTTTACACCCTTCGCGTCGTGTACACCATCTTCGATACCGTCCGACGCTTTTTCCACCGTTTCCTTCGCGCTTTGTTCCTCCATATTCGTAATATTAACTAAAATCGGTCGATTTACGGTGGCACAAGTACTCATCACCGTTAAAAGCACAAGCTCATGCACAACGACCTTCCTAGTCTCACAACTACGTTCCGTACGACTTGACCGTAAACAGCGACCGAATCGCCATGTTTGATTTATCCGTGATTCTGTGCGATAGCAAGGGCGACGTGCTAACGTTTCGATGCTTGGGAGAAGAGGGGGACGTGCTTTCCCCCCACTACGAAACGCTTCGACTTGTATTCCATCGCGTTTTCTCTCTCTCTTTTATCCCACCTTACCCTCCTCAATATCCCTCTATACATCCACACATTCCTCTTATTCCTTTCTTAACGCACGATGGTGCCTTTTCTCTCTCTCTCTTTTTCTCTCTCTCTCTCTCCTCTCTTTCTCTCTCTCATAATCTTGCTTGTAGTACGTTCCTTGAGAAATGTGTCTTGCTCTATGTTTGCGTCTTCTCTCGTACAATATACGTCTAATTTGATACCCCTTAAGATTTACACCTGATTTATGTACTTAGGTTAACTCTCGATAGAAACAATAATTTCATTCGTACAGATCAATATATTCTAATAATCTTGCTTTTTCTTCTATTTTCTTTAGATGAAATACGAATCTTTCTGTTCTTATTAAACATATTCAAGGCGTATATGTACATATATATAGATACATATGATTTACATGATTTGAATGTCAACCTTGTATTGTGTTTTAAACGTTTGCCAAAATTAGCTAAGAGAGGATAGATACAAATGTCAACTATTTGTGTATTTAAAGAGCATTTCGCATGAATCTGGCCAATCGATATTTGCACGACATTGCTCCAGTCGACTGTAAGGACTACGTATGCAATTATTCGTTATCATTTAAAAAAAAAATCACACGAGAGACTTGATATTGTGTAAAAGGAATAGGGAAATAAAAGAAATATGCAAAACGAAACACTTTTTTTTTTCAAATTCCCGCGGTGCGCGAACTTGTTTCGTACGACATTTAAGAGAATAAGATGATTAAAATTAATCGAAATCGTTAATCTTACTTTTTTTGTTGTTATATATTATACTTTATATTACGATATATATGATATCGATTTTACAATTTGGCTTATTTTTAAGAAATCTTTTACATTCTCTTAGATATATTGTTACTTTTTTTTTTAATTATCTTTAATCGCTCTAAGTATCATTCGTTTTCGTTTTTTCTTTTCAACGTAAATCTATTTGACAAATATTACGAGCATTACAATTGAAATATAAACGAATCAACGAACATAAACTTTATATTATTTTTTATTTTTTATTTATATATTTTCTTTTCATGTAGATACATACGTGTAAATACATACAAGCTTACATACTATGTATTACATATTTAAATAAACGCATGTATAGAAACCTATTAATTCAACGAATTTTTAAACGTATTACTGGCTTTTATTTTTATAATGTTTACACTAACGACGATTAAGCTTTGCTACAAAGACGATCCTTCCTTTTCGATGAAAGAAGCATTAAGAATAACTCCAAGCCTTATAATGAAACAAAAAACTATGCGCTAAGCATAGAATATGTCATGCATCATAATAACGCATTGATATTTATATTCTACTAAGGAATGTATATCACTAACGGATATGTGAGCTTTCGAAACAAATTTATCCGTCTCTATCCTCTTTACCAAAATATCTCATGAGTGAGAAAATATCTTTTCTAATGCGTGGTTTCATTACGCGTTAGACGCGTATGAATTATCGTCTTGTTTACGAATCATCATCAAATGAAACTTTATAGATTATTCTCTTCGTAATGTAACACAAACGTTAATGATATAATAAATTAGATCACTATTCGTTATAATTATGTATCTATTTATTTATGAATCGTTTTGCAAAAAAAGTGAAAGATAATCGATTTGTATTTAAATTAGTTATCTATTATTTTAAACAAATGTGATTTTATAGATTCTTCTCTTTACTATTTAGCATTAATAAAATAATATAAATTATCATAAATATTATAACTACATAATTATATTATCATTCGATACAAGTACATATTTATGAATTAATTTACGTCGCCAAAGAACTGATAAAAAAACAAAAAGATCGATAGTTCAGTTTAATATAAGTTGATAAAGCATTCTACTCTTTATTAAAAAAAAAAAAAAAAAAAAAAAAAAAAAAAAAAAAAAAAAAAAAAAAAAAAAAAAAAACACGTTAGTTTAATTTACCACGATCGATCGATTTTTTCGCAGATATTTCGAAATTTTTCATCCTTTTTTCCCCCAACAGATATAATTTATTTGATTTTATGTAAGACCGTTTGTTCGATTTTTATATGTATATGTATGTATGCACGATTGGTGGATCGAAAGTCGCGTTTATTTTTATCGATTAACTAGAAGCAAATTACACATATAATATTGTACGTATAATAATCGACTAACGCTTAATTGCCAGGCGAACATACACACCTACGTTCTGACATATTGAATTACTCAGCTTGTGGATTCTCTATTATGTCCTACTTCGTAAATAAATGAAATATTTGTGAGGATTGCTTAATTGACGATATATTAACGTTTGTATAACCGCACACATATATGTAGGCATACATTATTTCATATGAATGTGGATATATATGTATACATGTATATTACAGATACACACATACGTTTAATAAATATATACAAAGGTTAATCATCAGCTCATTAATTTTGATTCACGTTCGAGCAAAGAACATGTACACGGTTGAGATAAAATATTCAAATGATCTATCTCTACCGTTATATCTTTATCCATAAATAAAAAAGTATATTTTCGTAGTATATCATAATAGCATCAAATAATGTTCGAACATTTGTATATTTTCCTTTTCGATACACGATTATATCGCAAAGCGAGAGGGTACTTGATATATATATATATATATATATATATATATATATATATATGTATACTGCAACGATTTTCACATATAGACACGCGCGCAAGAGATTGTATATTGGTAGTAAAAAAAAAAACAAGCCAAACGGATTCATATCGATTTATGGAAATGATGAAATAACGTTTTCGTTGATTTCAAGGATTAACGATTTACATAGGATGCCAGTCGATTCTACGACAAGCCTGACAACATTGAAATCAATTATTTAATAAAACTGTTCATAATTGAATTGATTCGTTTCTTGAAACGATAAACAAATTTATCTATATCTACATACATTATATCTTATATAAAGCGAAACAATTGGATACAATTAATTTAATTGAAAAATTGTTATCATCGATGCATTTAAAAAATCATTCTTTTCTCCTTTTCATCTTCATCTAATTTATAGAGTGAATTCTGCGAGCTCTGATTGCAATAAAAACTTTTTATAAGTAATTAAAAAAAAAAAAAAAAGGAAAAAAGAGAAAAAAAACATTAATAATGATAATCACCTGTTATAAAGAATATAGAACACATGTGAATATGTAACAATATGTATAATATAACATATGTCTGATATTCCTAAATATAGATACTTACCTAGATATGATGTAAAATAAACATATAATTGATAAACGTTCTCTATGTGTAAGATAAAAAAGTAAGATAAACATATGATACAAAGCGTATAGACGTAAACGTAAAAATGTACTTACGCATACATCCATAAAAAATGTATATATGTATTTACATGTTCTGTTCGTGTAGGATTGGTGGTAAATGGTGGGAGAGAAAACAAGAATGAGATAGAGAAAGAGAAAGAGAGAGGAAGAGGTAAAGAGAAAGAGGTAAAGAGAAAGAGGTACAGAGGACGGAGGGAGGGGGAGGTAGGAAGAAAGAGAGAGAGAGAGAGAGAGAGAGAGAGAAAGAGAGAAAGAGAGAAAGAGAGTTGTTGCAGTGTCGTCGAGAAACTCACTAAACGAGTCGGTTACGAAATTTAATCGCTTGGTAGAGCGAGGTTATAAATGCACCGTATATATGTTGCGACGGTTGCGTGGCGTGAACGTTAGATGGTGATCAAGTTAGAACTTAAAACTAATGATAACGCGAGTATGCCGAAGATGGCATAAAAGAGAAGGGTCATGCTAACTTGCTACAGCTGATCGTCCCGCGTGAAAGTCTACGCACGTAGTATACAGGCACGTCGCGATTTGATTTGATTTCATTCGATTCGATTCGATTCGATTTGATTCGATTTGATCCGATTTGATTCTGGTTTTTTCTTTTTTTATTTTGAAATTCATTCCTTTTTTCGTAATTTAGTTCTATGAGACCAGCGAACGTGGCTATTCTATGCAAACACATATACACGTACGCATATACGCTTACCATATATACCGTTCGAAGCTTTTCACGTTTCTTTTTGCATACATCGTCCATTGTTCTCGAATAAGAAGTCGGCATTGAAAAAGTTAAAGGGAAGCGCTTCAAAGAAGCACTGTGTTATCGATTGCACGTATGTTTGATACTTTTCGACTAAAGTTTGTCATAGATACATACATAACAACGACTAATCTAAAACGTATGCTCATCTTAATTTGATTTTTTACAAGGATCTTTACGAGAGACATTACACTTCATATTTATATACATATGCATATGCGTGCTTGTATCTATTTGATTAGTTGCCTGCGAACGTAAATGTCTCTAAGTATATATGTATATACGTCTATACATATATATATATATATGTATATATATATGTATACATCTCTCTCTCTCTCTCTCTCTTCTTATTGTTTTTCCTCTTTAACTATACTTTCATTTGAATTCAGAATCGATTTTCCACTTTCGACTTGTGTGTTTCGATTCGTATATCGATAGATATCGGTCTACGCTTGAAAGTTTATTACATATTTGTTACATCAAATAAATGGGTCATATGTAATTCATTATTAACTGCATCGCGCTTCATTAAGATGCGACACAAATTTGAATAATTAAAATGCAACATCAAAAAATAATAGTAATAAAGATGTTTGTTTCTTGTTTTTTTTATCTTTAACGATTAAGACTAATCAAGCTAATTAGAAGAGTAACTTTGAATAGCATTATATTATATATATTATATATATTAGTGATATGAATTAATCAATTCAAATACTATACTAAATAATAATAATAATCGTAATAATGATGTTTATTTCTTAGTTCATTCATCTTGACTGGTTAAACCCGGTTAAGTTAGATAAGCTATATTAAAATAATTAGAAAAGTAACTTTGAACAGTACTGTATACATATTAACAGTACAAATTGATCGATTAAAATATTATACCAAATAATAATAATAATAATAATAGTAATAATATTTGTTTCTTAGTTTATTCATTTTTACTCGTTAAACCCGGTTAACCTAGGTTAAGCTATGTTAAGCCGTTTAAAAGAGTACTTTTGAATAGCGCTGTACATATATTAACGGTACGAATTAATCGATTGAAATATTATACCAAATAATAATAATAATAATAACAACAACAATAATAATAATATTTGTTTCTTAGTTTATTCATCTTTACTCGCTAAATTCGGGTAAACTATGTTAAGCTATTTTAAGTCAATTAAAAGAGTACCTTTGAATAGCGCTGTATATACATTAGTGGTACGAATTGATGACTTAAAATGCGATACCAAATAATAATAGTAATTATGTTTGTTTCTTGTTTTATTCATCTTTACTGATTAAGACCGATTAAGCTAATTAAAAGAGTAACTTTGAATAGCGCTGTATATGTTACATTAGTTAAGCACTTTAAATTGTTAAATACCATTTATTTCCGTTTAACGAAATTTATATTTTCTTCACCGATATGAAATATGTAGGATATTATTAAAATATAAATTATATTTAAATCGACACAAATTGATTAGAAAGACGAAGTTATATTCTAACAGGTAACCAGAGCACACGGATACACATTACACTAATATACTACTCTCTCTTCCCTCGAAGTACTCGTTCTTCCGGTAACTTTAAGCATTTTTAACTAATCATAAAATTATTACAGTTAACCTATTTTTACGTTCTGTGATCTTTTCAATATCATTGTTAGCTATATAATTATTTAACTGTTACAAAAGGCAATAAAATAATAGACATACCATAATAGCTATAAAAAAAACGATAATTATATATATAGGAAAAAAAATAAAAAGCATTGTATAAATATGGATATATTATATATTATATACTTTACATACTCACGTACATATACACATATGTAAATATTTACTCCATATTGTAACGTAACGATTAGTATTACCGATAGTCGCTATTTACACTATAGGATCTGTTATTATGTTGCTTCCTTTCGATATCAGATAGAGTATCTACCTTTCTAATGAAGCAGACTACCAACTATAAAACTAGATCGTAGAGGACAGCACTAGACACAGTCTTTGGATATGCAGAAGAACTAAGAATGTCGATAGATAAAAACATCCTTATTCTCTGAAATGAAAAGGATCGCTCCCAATTTTATTGCAATTTAAAATATAGATATATATACATACATCAGTCAATCGGTTTTTTGTTCGTATTAACTTACCTATTTTCGAATATAAATTAGAGCTTATCTTTCTGATAGAGTGAAATTTCTTTCATTCTTACAAAATATTTTATCTTTTTTTATCTTCGAGATACTTTTCATTTCTGTTTTTATTTTAAAATTAACGTTTTATAATAAAAATATCTCTTTACTTTTACAAATCTCTAATTGTTTGGTTAATTATTATTAAACTGTGTTTTATAAATAATTATTTTTCTTAATTTTACGTTATTCTCTTTGGTATCTGCATACATGTAAATACATTTGAGTAATAATTAAAATATTAATAAAATGATCTCGTTTAACAATGAATTCTCTTTATTTTCGTTAATCTTTTTTATTTACGTAGAATTATTTTATTACATTCGGCATAAGGTTATTTACTGAAATCATACGGATGGATTTATCGCTACAGGGTAAATATTCATGATAAGCAATAGTATATATTACGGTTAATAAAAATATTTAAAGAATTTGAAAAATTTTATCTAAGGATAATCATTGTAATTCTGTCGAAAATTTCAGATTTAACATATGAAAAGAAGGCAAACTTTATTATTATTGTTATTATCATTATCATCATTAATAGAGTAAGAAGAAATATAAATATAAAAACCGATGTATTTTATCTTAAACCGACAAACTTTATAAGATTGAATAACATTTCTAATATCTCTCATAAAACTAAAAGAAAATGAGTTATACGATTTTCGGGAGGTATATGCATGCGTGTGTGTGCGCGCACGCGCGTGTGGTGTGTGTTTTGTATTATGTGTTGTGTACCGAGAGGATTTACGCGTTAAGAATTTTTTTTTATAATCGAGTTACCACATCTGTGTATATAAGCCAATGATGCAACTATCTTGAAGATAAAACTAATTTGTGAATATAGCAGCATATTGTCGCCTATTATATCCAGGTATAAGTTTTACAAAAATACAAAAATATATATATATATACACGTACGTATATGCATACACATACATAGATACATTCATAGATTGTATATACATTTGAATGTAAGAGAGTAAAGTCGCGCGTGACTATAAATATGTTGGTCGTCCACCCAGGAGGCTTCTCTTTGCACCTTGGTGCCTTTTCTTCGTCTTTGTTTTTTCATCCGAATATACCATGTTCTCCATCTTCGTTCGTTGCCTCTGTACTCCGGTTATATACTAACACGTAAAGGCAAGCTTTTGAAAGGGAAGACTCCAACTAGCAGCTGCTCTTACGACAAAACGCGAGCTAAAATATAGATCCCAGCTCTGTTATAGTTACGCAATTCTGCTCACTCTTTCTCTTTCTCTTTCTCTTTCTCTTTCTCTTTCTATCAGATCCCTCCTCTCTTCTCTTCTCCTTTCCCTCTTTCTCGTCATGGCTAAATCGTCGTGTTCACGGTGAAAATCACGAGACATCATCTTCAAGAGAACGAATGAGATTCGATAGTTATATCGATTTAATGTCATATTACTTTCTTTCTCTTTCTCTTTCTCTTACTCTCACTCTCTCTTTCTCTTTCTCTCTCTCTCTTTCTCTCTCTCTCTCTCTCTCTCTCTCTCTCTCTCTCTCTCTCTCTCGCTCTCTTATTGTAATCTTTCAAATGTAAATTTAATTGGACAGGATCGTGATCATCGGAGATCCAACAATTAGTATCGATTGAAATTATAATCCATTTTATCCATCTTTTATATTGGACAGATTTTATTTTTATTTTCATTTTATTTTGTTTAGTTTTGTTTTATTTCTCTGAAACTTTGTTTTATTTTGATAAGATATTTTTCTAACGGAAATGTGTGCGAAACAGAGAGAGAATGGGGGAGAGAGAAAGAGAAAGAAAGAAAGAGAGAGAGAGAGAGAGAGAGAGAGAGAGAGAGAGAGAGAGAGCGAGAGAGAATTAATAATGAATTCACAATGTATGTAACTAAATGAGCAATAGTAAAACAATAAATAGTAAATTTCTATTTCTTTGAACACAATTTTAATTGTTTTGTAAAACGGAAAGGTAAATTTCGATAACGTAAATTTCGTACTACCAATGTCAAGTGGAATTATATATATATAATATTTGTGTGTGTGTATATATATACACACTAGAAAAACGTAATTACTTTCGTCATATCTTTTTCGTTTCTATTTGAGATAATTTTATTATTTTGGTTGATGGTTCGCACGATGTTATAATATTTTTTATAGTCTTTTTTATCTTTACGTAAGTCGTCGATGACTTATTTTCGATTCTTTTATTGTTAGATATATAGGATTTCTTAGAACAAAAATATCTATGAGAGAATTAATGAAATCGGGAGAGAAAATGTAAATAATATTTTTATGCTTGATTATGTAATTTAAGAAAAGAAAAATATTAGATATATGAAAAGAGAAATTGAAAACGTATATAGAAAATTATTTAATTTGTAATTAAATGAAATCGTAAAAAGAAAAAGATAATGAAGAAAACACAGGATATATTAATAAAAGACGCTAATATTAATTGACAATGTGAAATTAATATATCTAAACGTTATTATGTTCGATCTTCTCGTACTTACTGTATTTAATTTATTATCACCGAAGATAATAATAAACTGACTAGTTATCGAAACTAAACTAAATGTTCAATTATAATTTTATTTCACTAATCGTTCAATATACATTTCCGAATTAATTTAAAAAATATCTCGCAATCCTTAATTTTTAAATAAACTTTATACATATTTATATAATTATTTTACACGCACACATACATATATATAAATTCTAATATTCAATATATAAAAATTTTATATTAATTATTCTTTAATTACCATAAATATTTTATATGATTTATTATATATATTAACATGAAAAATAATTTTGTTTTTTTCAACAAATCTAACGAATTTTATTTCTAATGAATTATTTACGAATGAACTACGTTTAGAGATAAAAAGATTGACCTTCGTGAAAGTAAATTGTAATCAATGATGTAAGTGCTTCCATCTGCTGATTGTTACAATTACTATGATATATAATAACTTAATTTCACTCAGAGTAGTCTAGGTTAGTTTTACCGCAAATTACGAATGAACAAAATCTTGGTTCGTGACAAGGTTCACCTTGTTTCAAAATCTTTTGTAAAATGGTAAGAAAAACTGAGAAATTAACGAGAACACAATTTATGATTTATTTATACAGTTATCGATTTACAATATATATTCTTAGAATCATTTAAGTAAATTGATTTTAATTTTGATGTTCACACACGATGGTAAGAAATGGAAAGATATTAAACACGTATTTTATACGATATCATTTCGAAATGTTCTAATATAACATGTTTTGTGTATATAAAATATTTTAAGTTTTAGTTAGTTTAAACAATCATATAAATATAGGTATATAATTATAAATCGCCAATTATTTGTTTCTTTAAGAATTTCAGAAGATTAGACTTAATGATTCGTAGGTTATGTCTTCATATTGTATTTATAGTTTCAAGTGATTTTGTGTTGCAATATTGTGTAATGATTTCATATATGTGTTGTAATAGTAAAGAAATAACAAATGAAATAATCGCTAGTAATAATAATTATAATTTGAAATAAATAATTCCTATAATCGTAGTAATGCGATAATAATGATGGGTAATTAGAAATCATTCTTTAATATATAGTTACCATGTAATTTATAACTGAAATTCATATAAGAGTTGATTATTAAAATATTTAATTGATTGCACACACACATATATATATATATATATATAATTTGCTGTATTTATTTTATAGATTTTATCGATATTTTATATATTATTTTAGGCTACTACAGTAATAGTAACTGGGTTAGGTCTTGCTGTGGCAGGTTTTGCTGGACGCTATGTGCTTAAAAATATGCCAGCTTTTTCTCAAAGGATGACAGAAGCTTTGAAAAATATATCACAATTGGATTCTCAAGTATTTATTTATTTTTGTTACTTATCTCAAATAAGAATGAATTTTATTTAGTTTATTACATTATATTATTTCTTTATATATCAGTCATTAGCGAACAGCAAATATTATAAAGGTGGTTTTGAATCTAAGATGACTAAGCGGGAAGCTAGTTTAATATTAGGAGTTCCACCTACCGCAAGTAAAGCAAAAGTAAAAGAAAATTTTAAAAAAGTAATGAGTGTAAATCATCCTGATCGAGGTGGTTCTCCATATCTTGCAGCAAAGATAAATGAAGCTAAAGATTTATTAGAGAAATGATTGAATAATTTAATTAGAGTAGTATATGTATCTAATGAATTTTCTTGTAAGAAAACAAATTTCAGTGTACATAAAAATATAAACTATATATTGCAAATAATTTAATGTCTAATAAATAAATTCTTTGTATTGTACATTCATTGCGAGGCTACATTACAATTTAATATGTACATTTAAGATAATTATACTAGATGTAATTCTTAAAATATATTTTATGTCTAATCACAAATACAAAATCAAATGTGGAATAATATACATAAAATGAAAGGAACTACAAAATTGTAGACCATGTTATGTGTTTTGTTGTATTGCATGAAGATTTTATATCGTACGTGCTTGTCTTTATCATAATAAATTTACAATAAAGTCATTCATACCTTCGGTCAAAAATAAGGCAATTAATATATATATATATATATTACAATGCAATTTTGTAACACTCTAATTTTGAATGTATATTTACAACATTGCTACGTGCTTATCTAATTATACAAGTTTACTTTTATTATATCAATTTTGAAACAAGAATTAAGGACTAGATTATTTCGGTGGATAATGGTATCCTTTTATAGATACTATCGCCTTAACTTATTCTCTTTTTGTTCCATACGTCGTTGTGTAACTTTTGTTCGTAATTTTACTATTGTGCTACCAGGCAGTGATCCAGGTACTTTAAAAATACTCTAGCAAAAATTTAGACAAATATTCAAATTAATATATCTTTATGTAGTCATTAACACATATTTAAAAAAATTATTATACTTTATATTTTTAATTACATGATAAAATATCTTACCTGCATGAAATCATGACACTGTAAAACAATACTATCTTTTGTAATTTCTTTAAAACACTCAGCTAGCAAAGTAAAATCTTGACAAGCTAATAAATTATCTTTATTCCGTTTTATAAGTGTCAGTGCGACACGAAATATTATTTTCGTACCTTCGTAAAACAGACAATCCCATATACGCAATGTTGTCTGTAAATTTCAAATAATTAAGTGTGGATATTATTTATTTGATATTATTAAAATTAAAGAAATATTAAAAAAAAATCATTTATTTTTACCTCAATTGGCAAAACTTCTGCAAATAAACACACGAACCACTTCGTTGTAATCACTGGCCATGGTAATCCTAAATTTGTTACATGTTGATAGATGTCCGGCATCTTTATTCTAGAGTGAGATTATAAATGTAGAATATCCCAATGTGTTGGCCAATACTCTAGTTTTATACAATTCATAGAAACAAATTCTTATTCGTATTTGGAAAGAATTACTATGAATTTAATGGCTGAAAGAATTTGTATTTATTTTACCTAACTAATTCTGCCAATACATCTATGTCGGTAAGCAGTCCATCCATTGTTGGAGTGTAGTAATCTGGTAAAATTTTGTCTATTAATACTTTTAATAACCAAAATGCTGTTTCTTCACTTTTAGTTACTAATAAAAGTAATCCTGCTATGTAATTAAGACCCTAAAAAAGAAAATAAGATATTGTTTGATATGTGAAAATATCTAAAAAGTATTTATAATTCTATTATTTTTTACATAGAAGTATATGAGTAAAACCTTACTTGACAATATCCGACAGTTTTATTTTGATGAGCAAATGCTAACAAAATATTGTATAATTGATGTTGTTGATTTTCAATATTATTAAAAAAAATATTGTCAGGAAAAGTTCGTGGGAGATCAGTTTTTATAACAGAAACAAGTTCTGCATTATGTGGTGGTTGTAACAATTTTTCATAAAGATCAGGCGCTGCATTTTTCATCTCTTCCCCTCCACTAATGGAAAGCCATACCTGTATGAATAAAATTTTAATTAATAGTTAATATATATTTAATTAATATATGTTAATAACTTATTGCAAATTAATTGCAAATTCCATTAAATAAATTATATAAATTGATATAAAGTCCTTACCAGACCTCTATATTCTCCTGGAATACCTTTACGAACATATCTTTTTATCATAATACTTCGTTGTAAAGATTTTCCTTCGCCGATAATTTCTGCCCATTTTTTGGCACGTTTTGCAAGAACTTTAAGATATTCGGACATAAATTCTTCATACGTTTCATAATCAAAATTTTGGGGTCGTTCAAAGCCATACTCGTCCACGTTGCTATAAACACATATAACTTCCAAATTATATGCATGCACATACAAACAAAAAATGTACATTCTAATGGAATGAATTAAAGTGTAATTATAAAAAATCTTTGAATTTGTTTAAATTTAATTTCTATAGGTGTAAGGTTACACTTACTTTTTTCTTTCATTATTAATATATTCAGTTTTAACAATAACTAATTAAATATATTAATAAAATATAATAGAACACAATTTTTATTTACTTACTTCGATTTAACAAGCGAGTACAATAAATATAACCTCAAGAAGATCAGATAAATGTAATAAAGAACATATATCAGACTTTACAACTGGCAATACATTGATTATATGTATATATATAAAACAAATGTAGAACGATATTAAACAATTAAGAAACACAGCATCAGAGTCACACTCACCTAAAACATGAACTTGCCATACCCTAAGTACGACGATAGGTGTCAATTTACAGTCGCAAATGTATTGGGATATATGTACTATATACACAGTGACAATGATTCACTATATATATATTACATCTATAAAATATCCTATATAGAGTAACGTAGTAGACACGCGCATAAAACTATTAAATAAATTCTGTGATTAAAACGTACAGATTAATATGATTTTTTAATTTTTTTTTATTACAAAATGATGGAACGATGTGGTTTGCTTTGTTGATAACTAATCAAATTTTAGATTTTTTTGTTTGATGATGATTACGTAATATATAATATTATTACATAGCATAATTAAAAAAAAATATTATAAAGATAATAGTATAAAATAAATATATTAATGTTAAAATTAAAAAAATAAAAATTTCTTCGACATGTTATTTGATAAGCATAAATGACTTTTGAACTTAACGTCATAAATGAGTATATACTTAGTATGCATTGTAACAAAAATTATCTAATTTTATTATTAACTCACATATTATATTTAATATTAATATAATTACGTTTTATTAGTGTAAATATTTTTAAAAAAGTATAAATCGATTGTACTCAAACAATCGTTTACAATCGTGACGCAGGTCGATGTTCGATATTATGATACCACATGGTAACGGAGGTAAAATGGCGTTAACTGTCCCCTGTGTTGCTGGTAAGCAATTTCACAATGTTTTGGTAATATACATATTTGCTTAAAACTTAAATGATTTATTTTTTCTTATGTATCAAACAAACATCACTTTTTCATGATATATGAGCTTTCTTTGTTCTACAAAATTTTAGCTTCATAACATCATGCAATTCATTCTTCTAAAATGCATCATGCGGTATTAATTTGCTCAATTCTTTTCTAATAATGATTATAGTTTATTATTTTTTCAATATACATATTCTCAGATAAAATTTCTTTTTAATATTTCTTAAAACGTAATAAATATGTAACTGTATCTACATATGCGTACATATAAGTATACATATGTATAACCTTCCTTTTTTTATAATTTCCAAGTAGAATAACATATTTTATCATAATTTTGACTGAATTTGCCCCTTTATATACAATCAATTATATCATAACATACTTTATTATATAATTGAATGTAATAAAATAACAAAATATCTTTTTATATTTTATATATATACACATACGCGCGCGCACACGCAACACACACAACATATGCATATATGAGAAATAAATTTTAATACGTTTTTTAACCTCTAGTGCGAGGTTCCACTGGTATCAGTTTAGGACAAGGACCACCTTCGTACGAACCAGTGACAACATTTCCTAAAGATGATAGTAAATTGTGCAGAGTTATGTTATTTAGTCCAGATGGACGTTACTTTGCATGGACTAATGAAACCTCTGTTAAAATTGTACTTTGTAATACATGGAAAATTATCACAGAAATTAAAAAACCAAAAGTTAGTGCTATACAATTCTCCAGTAAGGGGACATATTTCATGACATGGGAGCCATTCATTGGTATTAACTATAAAATATATTTTATTGTAATATCAATTACAGTATTATATATTTCTAAATTAATTTCAGCAACACTACCTAATCTTCATATATGGAAAACAGAAACCAATGAGTTAGTGAAGAGTTTTATACAGAAAAAGCAAAGAGATTGGTAATGTATAATTTTTTAATTAAGTATTTTATATTTTTTAATATATTTGAATATTTGATATGTATATTATAGTACCATTAGCTTTTTCATCATTGTATATCTTTTAAGGGAGCCTTTTAAATTTGCGTTAAAAAGAAATTTTTGTTAAGCATGACATATACATTGCATCTCTAATTTTTTATAAATTTTTATTTAATAATATCTTCTTCAGCAATTGCTACTAAATTTTAGAATTTTTTGGTGTAATGTTAAATAAATAATAAAATTTTGTAAATTTCTATCTATGCAAAATATATTTATTTTATATTATATATTATTTCATATATATTTCTTATTTTTTATACATGTAATATAATGCTATACAAATATCATAGTATATTTTTTTACAATTATTCTCTGTTATTGTACATGTTTGTACCATAAAAGTAATTTTTCTTTAGTATCAGACATTTTTTTATATTTCATATTTATGTGCTATTTCCTCATTTGTATTGCATCCACTTAGGGAGCCTCAATGGTCAAGTGATGAGAAAATCTGTGGAATATTGATGGGTGCAGATGTCATATTTTATGAAGATGCCAATTTTGAAAAAATTGTACACAGGATAAACATAGCCAAAGTTGCTAAATTTAGTATAGCGCCCAATAATGCTCCGTACCACATCCTTTGCTATGTGCCTGGTAATTCATGTCATGTTGATGTAACATTAATACATAGGTTAATTAAATTCATTGATAAACAAATATATTGATACAATTATAAGCAAGCAAGAGTATTTTGATGTGATAATCATTTTTTTCTGTATTTAGAATCTTTCATTTTTATAATTAGTTTTATTTCCATTGTTTCTCTTAAATAATTAATTTTTATTAATTTAAATATTTTAGGAAAATCAGGCCAGCCCTCACTCGGTAGATTATTCCAATATCCAAAATTTGAATCAACACAAGCTTTAGCAAGTAAAAGTTTCTTTCAGGTAATATGAGATTATGTATATATGATATATGTATATATGATGTAAATGGAGTATGTAAACATAATTTTATATTAATAGGCTGATAGAGTAGACATTTATTGGAATCAAAAAGGAACAAATGCATTATTAATGACAAGCACAGAGATTGATAAAGCTTCCTATTATGGAAAACAAACACTACACTATGTTAGTACAAAAAGAGAAACAGCTATGGTCATGCTCAGTAAGTTACTGTAGAAATAAATTTTTATAATATTATAAACTATTATATTATAAGTCGCTAAATTAATATAAAAAAAAATCACCTTTAAAATATAATCTGTTTTTACATAGGTAAAGAAGGTCCTATTTATTCAGTGCAATGGTCTCCAAAGAACACAGAATTCTGTGTTGTTTATGGTTTTATGCCTGCAAAAGCTACACTCTTTAATCTTAAATGTGAACCAATATTTGAATTTGGTGCACTGCATAGGAACAGTATATATTACAATCCTCATGGAAACAATATCCTTTTTTTACTTACTTAAGAATTAATTATTAAAGGATGAATTGATTATAATGAAATAATAATAACTTTCTTTAACTTCCATATGGAAAATTAGATTGAAAAGATAATGCAAATACATTATTGATTTTAGTATGCTGATATATTATTACTGTATTAAATATTAGAAAGCTGTTTATTAAAATATTTGTAATTATAAATTCCTATTTTACGAATTGATATGAATCGATTCATGAAGTAGGAACTACTTATATTATATTATCCTTAACCACTGTGCACTTATGATCTTAGCTGGTTTTGGTAATCTTTCTGGTGGCATTCAATTATGGGATGTCGTGAATAAAAAACTTATTGCCGAAATCTCTGCACCTGATACTACTCTCCTGGAATGGTCACCAGACGGTGAACATTTTATGACAGCTACGACAGCACCTAGATTGCGAATGGGAAATGGGTGAGTGGCACTTAAATTTAATTTTTTAATTCATTTAATAAATATATTTTCGAACGATTATTAAATTACAAAAACAAATAGTTATATATATTTTAATTGATATTTTATAAATTTTAATAGGTTTAAGATTTGGCACTATAGTGGAACATTATTATATGAACGGCCATGGAATAAACAAGAAGAACTATGGGAAGTTCTTTGGCAAACATTTCCTCTTGATACATTCAAAGAAAAGCCGATTAGTTACAAAGCTGTAGAAGGTATCGCACCAAGTCAACCACAAGGTACCTTTATACGTTTTATGCATATTTACAATTAACATAATATTTTAATGATAAAATCAAGTCTTTTATTTTGTTTCATCAAAAGTCCATTTTATTTTAATTATTTATTTTCAAATTTTGTTTATATATAGCATCAAAACAAGTATACAGACCACCTTCTGCAAGAGGACAAACTATAACTTTCAAATTACATGATGATGATGAGTTTGGGCCAAAACCCAATACAGAGGGTAAGAAGGATTATATTATTAAATACTGTTTTTATTATCTTTATTGTTTATGTAAATAATATAAATATAAATTTATAGCTAATCCATCAAAAGCTGCTTTAAAGGCAAAAAAGAAACGCGAAGCAAAAAAAGCTAAGAAAGAATTAGAGGCTATTGCTATGTCTTCTCAATTACAAACAAATAATCCAACTACTAATGGTCAGATTTCAAATACTTCATCAAAATATCAAAGTAATGTTGTTGCATCATCTGAGTCAGATCTTATAGACGATCCTGAGAAGCAAAAAAAGATAAAGAGACTTAAAAGTGTAAGTAATTTATATACAAGAAATATATGAAAGTAATTAAAAAAAAAAAAAAAAAAAAAAATATTGCAACGCTTGTTCATTTTTGTTTCAGAAACTAGACCAAATATCAAAATTAAAGGAACAATTATCAGCAGGGAAACAATTAGAAATCAATCAATTAGACAAGATCAAAAAAGAAGCAGAGTTAATAAAAGAACTCGAAGAACTTATTTTGTGATGATCTGCTGAAATTTTTCAGACAGAGACAGATTTAAATAATATATTACTTTCAAATACTTCTCGCAAAGAAGAGAAACAATCTTGGTATTTGTTTCGCAGTACACTATCTAAGAGACACGATTAGCTGTCAGTTAAATCGTTTTCTCTGCAAATGGGATAATGGGAACAATCTGAAATTGAGTCAGTGACTTAAATCAGTTTACAAATTATCGTGGTGTCTCTAGATGTGGAACACAAATTGCATTTGTGAATGATATATACACAAGGTGACGTATCAATTCGTGACGATTTGGGGAAGTTTACTTCTCTTTGATCACATTTTTTTAATTATGATATTAATGATGCGAAAAAATTGAAATCTTGTGCCAGTTGATAATATTGATAGTAACCAAGCTTCCTTTAAATGTATTGTGTAAATTAATATAAAAAGTAAAAAAAAAAATGAATGCTTTACGTGTGTACTCGGCACGTATAAGTAATATAATACACACATAAACATATACATACACGACTTGACGAATGAATCGAAGTGAATGAAGTATTTACTTAATACCAACTTTGGTATTATATGTGGTAAATAGAAGAACTTATATAAACATGAATAT